CTCTGCCTTCTCTCCAGCACCGTCCCGCAAATCAGCTCGGCTGCAGTCACGGAAGGTGCTTGATCACCAGATCCCTGGGGAGGGGACAAACTGACCCCTTGGCGACTTGGTAGGAAGGGGTTGGAGAGAGGACGGGAGGGATGGGGATGAGGGATGCAGATGGTGGGTGCAAATGGGGGAATGCGGATAGGAGATGAAGRAGGAGGGTGCGACCAGGTGTTGCAGATCTGGAGGTGCAAACGGGGAGTGCAGAGCAGGGCATGTGGAAGGGGGTTGTGGATGGGAGATGARGGACTCAAACTCCGCAGGTCTCTCCCAACGCTCCCATCTGCGGGTGCCCGCATTCCCAGCCCCGCTCAGGGAGCTCGGCCTCCCTCCCGAGAGGTTCGTTTGGAAACCGGGACCAGAGCTGGGAAGTGGCAGGGGACCCCGACCGGGACTACCGGAGCCGAATACTCGATGGGTTTCTCTTTGCGACCAGGACTGCGCGGTGCGGGAGGGAGCGGGCGCGGGCCGGGGACGGCGGGGGCCGAGCTGCCTCCGCGGAGGATGCTGCACCCCGGGGGAGGTGCACGGAGGAGAGGTAATTAACTTAATTAATTACCACATCCTCTCGCCAGCCAAAGACAAAAGAGGGGACCCGAGCCTCGCGGGTCCCCTCCGGAATACGTCTTGTCTATCTCGGCGCAGCAGGACAGGGTACGTTTCAGTCTTCCTCCCTCCACTTTTCTTTCTTTCCTTTTTCCCTTTTCTTTTTTTCTTTTCTTCGCCTTTCTTCCTCCTTTCTTCCTCTTTCTTTCTCTCCCTCTTTCCCTCTCTTTCTCTCCTTCCTTTTCTCCCTTTCTCTCTTTCTTTCTCCCTGTTTCTCTATTTCATTTTCTCTGTCCCTTTCTCTCTCTCTTTCTTCCTTTCTCTTTTTTTTTTCTCTTTCTTTCTCGCTCTCTTTCTATCTCTCTCTTTGATGTTTGTGGGCAGGGGGCAGCTCAGCCGCCCCCCAAGGATGGGGCGTCCCCGAGCAGCGCTGGCCTCGGCGCCCGCCCCCGCGCAGGGCTCACAAATCAGCCGGAGCGGGATTAGGGCCGAGGGCCGGGGCGCCGGGCAGTCTGTGCGGGCTCACCTGGAGGGGCCAGGCGGCCCCCGGCCCCCTCGCAGYGAGACGGAGCCAAGAGCTGCCTCGATGGGGCAGAGGGGCAGACGACCCCTTCCCAAGCCGCAGTCCTGCCTCCTCTTCCCCCCAAAATAAATAATGATAATAATAGTAATAATAAATAATAACAAAGCAGATGTAGCCCCCTATAAGGGGAAAGCAGATCTGAGCCTGGATCCAAGTCCGTCTAAAGTCCCCCGACGGGTGGGATCGGGCTGCCCTGGGAGCCTCTTCCTGCCCCGCTCCGATCGGGATTGAAGGAGAGGGCTCTGGGGATCCAGGCAGCACCTGCCYCGCTGCCTCTCGCGCCTGTCTAAGCCTGGCCGTGAGCTGGACCCCGTGTCCACCACGTCGCCCCCGCCCCGACTGGGCTGTCCCCGCCGCGCCGGCACCACCACCCTCTGATCAGGGAAAACATCACCCGCGCCGAGCGCTTCCCGAAGGAAGGCGAAGGATCCGCGTCCTCCACGGCGGGGGACGCCGAAAGACCCGCGCACCCACCCATGCCCACCCAGGCCGGGCACCTATATCGACAGCAGCCCGWATTCCCGCAAACCCAAATTGCATCTACAGGGAGAAGGGCTCCTCGCGCGGGTGCGAACAGCACGCAGGCAGCGCACACGCGTGGGCGCCTCCGCGCAAGCCCTGTAAGGTGTGTGAGAGGGTCCTTTCGATTCCGCAATCGCCCTCTTGAGCTTTGCATGGGAGGAAACAAAAACGCAGGAAACATAAAAATATAAAAATATAAAAATATAATAGTAATAGTAATAGTAATAGTAATAGTAATAGTAATAATAATAATAATAATAATAATAATAATAATAATTCCTCCTGCCGGTCATGCTCGCAGAGCACCTGCCGGTTGCCCCATCCCGCACTTGCGGCGCTGCCCTGCGCGGCGGCGCCCGCTGCCGCCCCTCGCCGCGGACTCGGGGCGCCGCTGCCCAGCACGGCCGTCCGGCTACTGGAGCTCGATTAAAACTACGATGGGATGAAAAAAGCGCCTCGGCTGAGAGCTGAGAAAGCGGAAGGGTCTGAACACACTCACGCAGCAAGTCCGAGGCCTTATTGAGCTTTCTTTAGCCAAAAAAAAAAAAAGAAAAGAAAAGAAAAAAATCCGCACTAGACAAATTTTCGCGGATTTCAGCAKCACCTCCTTTCTTTCCGGGTTTTCTCTTTTATTTTATAGCCCTTAAGTAAGTCATATCACAATTTTAAAAACATCTTGAAATTGTAGAGTTTGGAAATTGAAGCGTTTGCGGGAAAATGAGAACCCGAATGTTTCTACCCGCTTCTAACTAATTAAATAAAATGAAAGAAATTACAGCAAGGCTCTCAGTTGATCTTACACGTACACAYGGCGGAGGTTTCGGTGCTAACTTTCCTCGGAGCTGTTTCTGGCCGCGTAGATGAGAGGCAGCCAAGCAGGAGGGTGCCCGTGTTGTTGTTACTTTTATTTTCTCTCTCGCAGGTTATTTTTTCCCTTGCTTTTKCTCCGAGGGCACGGGAATACCCCGCTCGCGGCGAACTCGGCTCCCGGCTCAACGCAGCAAGCAAATAAATACACATCTCCAGCCAGTTGCTTTGGGTTATTGAGGGGGAAATAGCTGGCATTCCTGCTCCAGTTTATTTTGGAGCCGAGATTTCCCACCCTGCCCGCAGCGCCGGTYCCCTCGGGGCCGGGCCGGGGCGCGCAGCCCCGCGCAGCGCCCGTGGCGGGGACGCGGTCGCGGCCACCAAACGGGACGAGCAGGGCCTGATCCCGTCAGCGGAGGCCTGTGGGCAGCGGAGCTCTGTCCGTCTAAACGGGGCCGTCTAAGTCCGGAGCGAGAGGCGGGTAAAAGGGGAGAAGCACTGCGGCTTTTGCTCCGTTTGTGTCCAGAGGAAAAAAAAGTCTGCSCAAATTCTAGCCCTCGGCTCAGCGAGGCGCGGAAAGGCCCCGCTCAGCGCCCTGGGGCGCAATCCGCTCCTTTCCAGAGCCGGGGGAGGCGAACGGTGCCCGCGAGCCGGCGCGGCGGGAGGATGGAGCGGCCGACAGCACCGGGATCCGGGAAGGGCTGGATGAGGCCGCGAGCGCCGCTTCCCTCCGGCCGCCCCTTCCCTCGGCCCGGCCCGCGGGAAGCACCGGGGACTTCGGCCGTTTTGGGGAAGGCTGCGAGAGGGCCAGGTCTGGAGGCTGGCGGCACCGAAGGGGTGCGGGGAGCCCCTGGCCACCCGACGGGCTGTGCCGGCCAGCCCTTGGGCCCCGGGAATTGGGGGTTCCCGGGATAGCCCCCCCTTCCTCCTTTATTATGGCTTTTATTGCAAAGCAGAGCAGGGACCCTCGGAGCGCAAAGTGGCCCTTCCAAGTCCCCTCCAGCCCGAAAGTCGGGAAGTTTTGGGTTCGTTCCCCAGCTCCGCAGGTTCTGCGGGGAACGGGGTGCRGGGAAGGGGCGTCGGGCTGGTCCCGGCGGCGAAACGAGACGCAGAAACGGAGCGAGGGCGGAAAGGAGGACGGCCGGGGGCGGGCAGACACCTCCATCCTTACCGGAGGGGGGGTGCTGAGCCCGGGCGGGGGGGGCCCCCTCCGAGGCCGCATCCTGCCCCCCTCTCGGAGCAGGCGGCAGGCGCGTCCCCCCCGCCGGGCGCGGGGCCGGCGGCGCTCGTCCCGTCCTGTCCCGTCTCCCCCCACCCCGGGCCGGGAGGCACCCAATCCCCGCCGGCACCGGGGCTACCCCGCCGGCCGTCACGTGGGTCGGGCCGCACCGGGGCCCGCCGTAAAGGGCCGGCGCCGYCGCCGCCGCCGCCACTTCCCCGCCGAGAGCAGCCGGGGACGCAGCCGCCCCACGGGAGACGGCGGCGGCCGCGGGGGGTGCGAGGGCAGCAGTTGCCCCGCTCTGCTTTGGGGCTTCTTTCTTTGCCAGCCCCCCTCCCCTGTAAACTTTATTTTTTTATTATTATTATATTTTTTCTCCTTGGAATTTCCCTGGATGGTCTGAATCTAGCTTCATGCCCACCCGGCCATGTCCGGCGCCGCTCCTGCCTCGCTGCGTGGTAAGTCTGCGAACGAAAAGCTCCAGAAAAAAAAAGGGGAAAGGGAAGCGTGGGGTGGGGGGACACGGTGATTCCCAACCTCAGCTCCGGTGGGGAAGTTTTTTTTCTACCGGCGGGGGATCCGTCCACACAGACAGGCCGCCCTGCGGCTCCTTTGCTCCTCCAGCCGCAAGCAGCAGCGCCGGGRTCTGGCCCGACCCTCCCCACGGCCCCGGGACTCCGGGCGCCCGTGGGGCTGAGCCGGGGCCCGCTGCCTCCTCACCGCTCAAGGCCTGGATGCCGGCTCCAGGCCCGGGGCTCAAATATGTATATATACACATATATATATGTATATATATACACACACATATGTATATGTATTTTTATATGTATGGGAAGAAAAATATTTTTTTTCTTTTCTTTCTTGGCCCTCGGAAATGCCAAAGCGGCTCAGGGTGGGAACGATCTGGTGCCCCAGGCGGGTGAYTCTTTTCATTTCCAGGGAGGTTATTTAATTTCTCACCGTGACTCGGCCACCACTTTCAGCCCAGCGCCGTGTTTTACCACTCTCCCACCTCCCCCCCCCCCGCTCCCGATATCGATTTGACGGGAGGAAAGTTTAAAAGGAAACAAAATAAATAAAATAAATAAATAAATAAGYCCGCGCTTGAAGCAGGCAGGGGACGGGCGGGACCGGGCGGGCTCCGGGCTCTCCGGGCAGGTGCGGGCGCTCACGGCCCTCGGTTCTTCCCCCGCAGGCGYCTCCGAGTGAACCGCGAGGCAACATCTGGGCGCATCTGGCGGGGCGCCGCGCCGGGCCCTGAGCCGCCGCCGCCGGACCATGTATCAGGGCCTGGCCCTCGCCCCCAACCATGGCCAGCCGCCCTATTCCCACGACTCCGGCAGCTTCCTGCACTCGTCGGCCGCCTCGCCTGTCTACGTGCCCAGCACGCGGGTGCCCTCGGTGCTCCAGACGCTGCCCTACCTGCAGAGCTGCGAGCCGCACCAGAGCCCGCTGGGCACCCCGCCGGGCTGGCCGCAGGGCGCCGCCGAGCCCGCCGCCTTCAACGGCGGCAGCGCCCACGCGCCCTCGGGCTTCTCGTACCCGCACAGCCCCGCGGGCAGCAGCCCCTCGGGCCGCGACGGCGCCTACCAGGGGTCCCTGCTGCTGGGCGGCGGGGGCCGCGAGCAGTTCGGCAACGCCTTGGTGCGCTCCGTCAACGGCTCCTACTCCAGCGCCTACCCCGCCTACGTGACCCCCGACATCCCTCCCTCCTGGACGGCTGGACACTTTGAGAGCAGCGTGCTGCACAGCCTGCAGACCAGGCAGGCGGCCTTGCCCGGCCGCAGATCCACTTTCGGTAGGTCCCCGGCGCCCCTCGCCGCGGCGTCGCGGCTGGGCGCTGGCTGCGGGTATTGGGGGGGCAGCCCGGGTTTGAGCGGGGACAACACGTGGCAGAGTGGGGGGATCATCATCACTGTTGGTCTGTCGGTCCGTATTGAAGCTGCGATTTTTTTTCCTTCCCTCCTCCGGCTTTTCTTGGCCCCACCCTGGGGACACCAGCGCGTTTCTGTCCCGTTTCCATCCCCGGGACAACTCGAGGAGGAGAAAAGTTTTTGTCAAGGCAGGAAAAGATGGTCCGACACTAATGACAGGCTAGCCGGGAACAGAGACAGGGTGTATGTGTGTGTGTATTACCCGAAGGGCAAAGAACACGTTTCAAAGCAGAGCAATTCCCCCGGAGGACGGGGGAATGGAGGCTGTTCAACCCCTTCCCCCCAGCGATATCTCCTTCCCACAATATCGACTTTGTGCCTGTGCTTCAATACTTACCCTTGTGTTTAAATTAGCAGGGCAGATTTATAGCTCCCTCCCTTTTAAGTAATTTATTGTGGTAAATTAGTTTATATTTGAACAGACTCTCGGTCTCCTAATTCGCCTTCACCCAAACAGGTCCCCAGCTGCATCAGTCTGCGGCCTTTGGAGAGACAGTGAAACGCGCTCAGGCGTTGAACAATAAAACCCACTTCAATTCGTTTCCATCCACACCGGAGAGTCCTTTTAAATCAAGTCCCGGGCTAACTTTGTTTGCTCGGATCATGATTTAAAAGAAACCCGTGTGCAGGGTTTATTACCCCAGGGTATTTCACCGTCTTTCTCCGGCAGTGGCTGGAAAAGTCCTTTAAAAGCCACTTCAAGATCTCAGCCGCGTTATCATCTTTACTGCGCCGAACCGAATTATCTTATCTTTATCCCAAGAACAAAGTAAAGTAGCGAAGCGGCCCCGTCCCCAGCGAGCGCCGTCCCGACCGSGCTGTGCCAGGAGCAGTTGCTTCCCAGAATTTCTCCTTTGTCTCCGAAAGCCCTTTCCTGCTTTCCCCGGCTCCCCGGGAGCCGTCGGGGCTCTTGCGAGCAAAACTTCGTTGGGCAAAACGGAGATTTTACACCTTGAATTGGATGTTCTAGTGTCTGGGCTGCAGAGCTACCTTATCCTCGAAGTTTATTTTTGTTCTCAAAGAGTGTGAACCGCTCTTAAATAGCATAAAAAATATTTTTTTCATTTAGTAAAACTTTTTCCGTTTCGTTTTTCTCTTTTCTTTTTTTTTTGTTTTGTTTTCTTATGTCTTTGTTCTTTTTATTTCCTTTCTTTTTATTTTCATTTTTTCTTTCTATTTTTCCCCTCTTCCCCCCACCACCACCTTTTTTTTTTTTCTTTTTTCTTTCCTTTGGCTCATTTTTAATACTTTCGAAAATGCAAAAATGACAAAAAGGAGAGTGTTTTTTCTTTGGAGGAAAATAACATTACAGATGGAGGAAGTTGAGAAAGAAAGAGAGAAAGAAAGAGAGAAAGAAAGAGAGAAAGAAAGAGAGAAAGAAAGAGAGAAAGAAAGAGAGAAAGAAAGAGAGAAAGAAAGAGAGAAAGATAGAAAGGCAGAAGGGAAAAGCCCTAGATACCGAGGACTTGCTCCCGATCGGGGCTGCCTATTTGCTCCGCAGCCACGTTCGGGGCAAGGGGAAGCTGCGAGCGCTGCTCGGGAGCGGGCGGCTCCGCTGCTTCCTTCTGGTGTTTTCGGGGGAAGGAAAAAAAAAAAAAAAAAAAAAACCCCTCTGGAAAGAGCCTCGCTGGAAGGGAGTTGGATGGAAAAAATAAGAATAAAAATGTTTTTTTTAAAGCCCGCGGAGGGCTGTAAGGGCCGGGGGAAGCCGCCGCGCCGCTTGCGCGGGCAGCTCCGCGCCCCGCGGGGTGATTGATGCGGCGCCCATCGCAGCGCGGCCCCAGCCCGGCCGTCGCCGCCAGGCAGCCCCGCCGGCCGCGATTGGGATCAGGGAAGTCCGTTCCCCGCCCCCCCGCCGCCCCCATATTCCCCCCTTATCACTTGCAATAACACCGGGGCGACGCTTTATTTTCCCAGCCAGGGCAGGGAGGGCACCACGCTTGGCCGGAGCCTCCCTGTGCCCCCCACCCACACTCACCCTCCATCGTCTTTGGGCAGGCACATCTTTCTGCCTTTTTTTTTAATTTTTTTTTTATTTTTATTTTTGAGAGAGAGAGAGAGGTACAGAGTGGAGGGAATAGCTTAATTCCTCAGCCCAGGGTGGCAGTGGATTCCCCTGCCCGGGGTTGCCGCCTGGACAGGATGCGCATCCCGGCAGTCCCGTGCACTGGAGCTGGCTCCTGACCAAGCGGCGTTTTGGCTCTGTCCCGTAGAGTACCTGGAGGAGTTTCCTGGGGACGGCAGGGAGTGCGTCAACTGCGGGGCCATGTCCACGCCGCTCTGGAGGAAGGACGGCACCGGCCACTACCTGTGCAACGCCTGCGGGCTCTACCACAAAATGAACGGCATCAACCGGCCGCTCAAGCCACAGAAGAGGCTGGTAAGAAGGGGACCCTCTGCCCTGCCCTCCCAGGGGACCCCCTCTCATCCCAGGTTGGGGTTGTGGGGCTGGCTAAGGGCAGGATCCACATGGTGAGCATGACCCAGGGGGATGCAGGTGGTTCCAGGCTCCCTGCATCCGCAACGGGGTCTGTTGGGCTCAGTAGGATCTGCCCATTGCGTGGGACAGAGGCAGAATCGGTCCCGCTGCACATAACRTGCCATCAAACCTGGCAGGAGCCCCTTGTCGCGGGTCCTCASCAGCTCGAGTCGGAGCTGGGAGGAGCGGAGTGAAGTTGAGCAGGGAATTGTGTCTAAAGCAGCAGATCCGCAGCCCGTAGACATGCGGAAAGGGACCAGAGGGGTCCTGGGGTTGCGAGGAGAGGACAGGACCTGGCCGAGACAAGGGGTCTGGTGGCCGTTCCTGTGTGCCAGGGACAACTGGGGCCCTGTGGGCTTCTGCTAGCTCCATACCTGCAGTGGACCGGCTACTTTGCTTTCTTTTTTCTTCTGCTATTATTTCAGTTTCTTACCTGTTTATGCAGACATTTGTGGTCTAGGCAGAATAGTTGGTTAGGAGACAGGGATCCTGAGCTAGTCCCGGGGGATTTGGGGAGCAGGATAAGGCCCGTAATGATGCTGGGAACCCCCTGCCGCATCTGCCAGTGCGGGACAACTCGGGATTCAGCAGCTTAATGCATTAAGTGCATTAACCCATTAATTCTTCTGCAACACGGCCTGGGGCTTCCTCTGACCGGGATCTCATGGTGAGAGAGCAAAGGCATGTACTTTATTTGTACAGTCACTTTGGGATGTTTAAATTTGGTGGCGACAGTTTTGCTTTCAGAGCCAGSAGCAGCAGCGGTCACTGCAGGCAGGATGTTTGTCGCGGGGCTGGGGGCTCCTACGGGCTTCGCTCTGGGTGTGTTCGGGCAGTTGTTTTTCTGCTGCAAGGCCAATTATTAGCAATTGTATGAAGGTGGCAAATTTCTGGTTAATAGCACCATRAAAATAATTCAAGATAGAGCAAAATGATTCATTCTGCTTTTGCTACCGTAATGTAGTTCTGTATTTACCAAATGCAACAYGCGGCGTGTGATTCTGTGGCCAAGCATGGTTGTGTTCTGCTCTGTAATGAGTGTAAAAAGGATGCGTATTTGCTGAACATTTTGCATGATCTGATAGGATTTGCCTGCTCTTTGAGAATATCTCTGATCTCCTTTAATGCAATTAAATCTGCATCCCAGCATCAGATCCTGCTCTCTGCAGAGCTGCAAATCTCAGGGTTATGCTGCTGGTTTCTTTGGAGCCAGTGCAATCTGCAAAACAGTTTAAATATAAGCCTGTATTTTGGCGTATGGTCAGTGTCAAAATACGATGCTGGTTGCATTCTCGGGGCTTTTTCAACAGCTTTTCCACAAATACATTAAGGCAGTTAGGTTGTACTCTTATTAATTACTTTATCTCACTTGCTCYGGTGGCAGCGGGATGGGTAATGGGAGCAATGACGGTCCCTGCGGCGCGGGGACCCCGACCTCGGGCTTGTCCRGGTGGCATCCGCAGGGCGTTTCTCAGCAAATCATTTTCTGCTGCTGAACACTCATGTAGAGGGTTGGGATATTTCCTGGGGATGAGCAAATCCATTTGGGAATTATCAAAGCGCTTTCAATCTTTTCTTTTTTCGGCTCTTATCAAAGCGCAATAATACCGTGGCCCAAATGAAAGAGCCAGCTCTTATCACAGGGAAATGCTTCATTTGGGAGGAAATACCTGAGGAGATTCTGTTTTACAGAAAAGGGGCTGCATGTCTGACTTTCCATCCCGCTTTTGGAACAGAACATTTCAAAACCTTGCGTTTTCTCAAGGGATTTGATGTCTCGCTCTGTCCCCCTGGTTTCGGACGCCCCTTTTCCCAAATGCCCAGCCCTGCGTGGGATGCCTCCAGAGCCACGTTTGGGTGGGAATGGGGTGGAGAGCACGGTGAGACATCGCTGCTCTAGGAGCCCGGCGGCCACTGCACCAAGGCTGTGAAATACAGACCCATTGAGGGAAAAAAGGGTCGCTTTTGTGCTCTACCTGCCGACCTTTGCTCTGTAACTGGATACTGCTTTGCAGGCTATCCTGACTCCTGTTTTTCCAAAGCAAAGTCTCACTAAGAGAAAGGGTGCTGCGCTTCCTGCACGGGCACGTGGCCCTGGTGACGCTGCAGGGACAGCTCACGGGCGAGAGCGATGGGAGCAGCTCTCTATCCAAGTTTTCTCCATCCAAAGTCCAGCCATGTATCTCACCAGGTGATACCTGAGACCCAGTCCTAAAAGTGGGATCTCGTTTAGCATCCAAGAGCAGCCGCTGGAGCTGGATGGCTCTGTTGTGGACAGGAAGCTCAGCAGTGTTTAGGGCTCAGAGCTGCATCTCATGGTGAGGGGCAGATGCAGCAGTCAGCACGGGCTCGGCAGCCTCCACATGCTGCCGGATACAAAGACTAATYGGAGGCAATTCTTACTGGACTTAGCGAATTTTTTAGTTTTGTTTTTTCAGTCTGTCTTTTTTTGTAGTTTGCAAAAAAATAAGGTGGTTTCAGTGATATTTTTGGAGGGRGTGGGCACAGGATTGATCATCATCTGGTGCCAAATGATAGAAGAATCACGTGCTTGGTACCGACTCTTTGGTGTGTTGCTTAGTTTTCCCGTTGCTGTCAGTTCCTGCAGTTCCCCAGGCCTCTGGGATGTGTGAGATGAATCCCGGGCGCTGCTGGAGTGTTTTGCTGGGCTCTGGCCTCCCCTTGGAGCTGCTTTAGGAGGTGAGGCAACAAGCCACAGCAGCTCCCTGACATCTCAATATGCTTTCCYGCAGCCTCTTCTCTATCAAACACAGCTCCTTGCCTAGCACAGGAGCATCCATTAGACCTTCTAGTCTTCTAGGAGCTCAGATGCTTTTTTACCTTATTTTTTTATCCTATGAAACCCCGAAGTTTTGCTTCCACTTTYAAGAAGGTGGTGAAGCAAAATCTCTGCTGGCTTTGGGTTCCCTCCAGGAGATCTGAATTTCTTGGGCTCTCCTAGCATGCAATCTATGCTAGAATTTCTTGGGCGCTAACACTCATTTGGTTCAATACCCCCCAGCCCCGGCGCTTGGCAGCAGCYGGCCCTCGAGCGCGGTCACTTCTGGGTGCGTGCGCACCGCATTTGTACAAATAAACCCCGGAGCACAAGGCTGAAGTCAACAACTTCCTAGACAAGGTCAGCGCTACAAAGGCCGGGCGGAGGCTGGCAGCAACGCGCTGCCTCGTAGGGGACCTGCTGGGAAAGCAGCAATAACACATTGTGCCCTTGTCCTTCGGGGAGTCAGAGCAGCCTTGAGCGGCCCTTCCTGATGGGCATATTGCAGCAGGAGCAGCTCCCATGAGGTGGGATAGGGACAGGGGACCCTTGTACGCTTCCCTATTGTGCTGCCCACAGGCGAGCGGAGCCCTTGGGCCTTTCCCAAGCGCTCTGAATTGGCCGTTCCCAAGGGGTGACAACAGGGCTGGGCACAGCCAGCGCAGGGCTGAGTGCTCCCAAATTCCCCTATCTGCATCGGGAGCTGCCCTGAATCCGGATCAGGGGCTGCAGCCAGCAGGGCTCCTTCCTGGCGGAGCAGAGGGAGGTGTTGAGCAGCTCCGGATCTCGCTGTGCCACCACATCCCCTATCAGGGACAGGAATTACTAAGGAGACTGCGTTCTCCTCTGTACCAGGCTTGTCAGCTTGCACCTCGATGTATTATTTTTGTCCGGTTATTTCTTGAAAGACAAATAGTTTCTCAAGCGATGCAATCGTTTGCTCACTGTTGCTGCAAGCGCTTTGCTAAGCAACCAGTGACTCAAAGCTTGGACATGTCACCCCTGCCTTTTGAAACCCTACGCTGATCCTTATTTGACTGCTAACCTTGTAAAAACATTTCGCTTTTTTATTCCCACTCAACCCACCTCATTCATCATGATGCTTTGTCATGATATCGAGCAATAATGGAAAAAAACCCCAACCGAACAGGGCTTGGCCATCCCCTTTGCCTGCGTCATCTATTGTCCTTCTTTGAGGGGAACCAAGTGACTTTTCTCAGGGCGGGGGAACATATTCAAGCACCTGAAGGCGGAGATTCTGTGATATTACTCATGTCCCCACCATCCCCATGCCTATTTAATCTCTTATTGGAATAGCTTGGATGCCTCGTGCTAAGGGATATTCAGGTGAAATGCCTGTTTAATGGGCACTCCTACATATGGAAACTCCTGAGCTTCCCAGCACGCGGAGAGAGCGGCCGAGCGGAGCCCGCTGCTCCTGCCAGGATTTTCCGTCTCCTTTCSGAGAGGGAAAATATAAATGTTTCATTAAAGCCTCCATTAGTGTGTCGGAGCCTGATCACTGCGCCCACAAAATATGTAATTAATTAATGTTTACAAGGTGTTTCAGCAGCCTGGAGGAGAACGGATTATGTGCGAGACAGGTGATTAATAACCACTCTTGTCACATCGGGCCGGGCCAGCTCAGCTCAGTTTGGTTCTGCTCACTTCAGCCAATTGATTCCAGTTGTCTTAAAGCAGAGATTAATTGGGATGTTATTAACTCCAATGGCAGTTCTGAGTGCAGAAAAGCAGAGCAGTTCACTTAAAGGGACCACAGCTTTTTGCAGTGGTCATAATACGTGCTTAAAGCCCGGCTTAAAGCCTGGCTGGTGTTCTCATGAACTTTCTCCATCTCACAGGGTCTCCAGGAGAAAAGTGTTTTCTCTGTATTATTATTTATGATTATTTGGAGCAGATTTGCTGAAAGTTTGTGAAGTAACATGGGAGGGTATTTGCCAGATTTATCAAGCCCAATACAAATGAATAAATATATAAAAGTGGTTGCAAATGGAGGTGATCCCACTTGCATACTATTCCTTTCACCAGAACTTGGCTGTGTTGCGCGATTCACATTTTGCAGGAGATTGCTGGGACAGGAGAYGTCATTCCTGTCGGGAAGGACACTTCCCGCGTGCAAGGCTGCCCTGTTTGCTTCTCTTGCAGTCGTCGTCGCGGCGCGCCGGGCTCTGCTGCACTAACTGCCACACCACCAACACCACGCTCTGGAGGAGGAATGCCGAGGGGGAGCCCGTCTGCAACGCCTGCGGCCTCTACATGAAGCTGCACGGGGTAAGAGACAACCCGTGGGAGCATCCAAGCCCAGGATAGCTGGGATAGGCTCAGCCCTATCTTCTGGACCTGGAGATGGGCTGATAACCTGTGTCTGCAAAGGATGGGAATGACTTGGGTTGTGTCCATGAGCCAAAGGGGTGAATTCCTCCTTCCCTCCATGCCCCTTTAAACCATAAAGGCTATTTATGGTTTAAATGTCTAGCCATAAAGGCTAAAGTCTCGCTATCCCATCCCATTCCCTGTGAGCCTTGCAGGCYCCAGCTGTCCCCGTAATTTAATAGGACCCTGTCATAAAGGTCACTAATAAATCAGGAATARGAAAATAGGAAATAGAGGAAAAACCAGAATTGGTGGGAAAGCACAAGCATTTAGCCTCATACGTCTCCCAGCCAAGGCCTGCTGTGGAGAAAAATAGCCCGTGGAGAAGGACAAGGCCTTTAGGTGCAGCACGGGAACGGGGGAGCGGCCGCRGGAAGGGTCCCAGGGAAAGGCCGTGCTAACCATGTCAAACGTGCCAAGGTGCCGCGGCCTCTGGCCATGAAAAAGGAAAGTATCCAGACCAGGAAACGGAAGCCTAAGAACATCACCAAAGGCAAAAGCTCCACAGGTGAAGTGCTTTTATTATTGTCTCCAGAGCGGGYGGAAAGCTGGGGTGGGAAAAGTTGCTGGATGGGAAAAGATGCTGGGGGAAAACGTCTGGCCGAGCTCCTGCTTGTGCGGATCTGCAGGGTGGGGATTAACGGGGTAAATGCAAATTCCAGGGCTGGGAATGGTTCATTTAAGGATCGAGGGGGACTCAGCATGAAGCTCTCAGCATTTGCTTCTCCAGCTGGTGCAAAGACGAGCATTGCCAAGCTGTGAAAGGCTTCTCTTCCTCTTCTTCCTCCTCCTCCTCTCCCTCCTCTTCATCTTCTTCCTCATCCTCCTGCTCCAGCAACACCTTGGCAGCCAGATACAAAACCTCACACCATGGGAGGGAACTAGCTAGTGACACCGTGAGATGTGGTGGCAGCCATTGAAAACAGTTTTGCTCAAAATCACCTCTTTCTCTTCCCTTTGCCGCTTCATCATCCGGTCACAATTGCCTTCCAGGGTCTACGACTTCGGCCACCAACTCCCCTTCTTCCATTACCACCTCAGACAGCACGGTCACTTTAAAGTCAGAGCCCAGTGCCACCTCGCAGTACCCCGGACAAGGCGTCGTGTCCGTGTCCCAGGTAAGCCCAGGGTGTCCTGCTGCCCCCTGCAATTCCTTTGTGTCACATATACTGCTAATCTGGGGCTAGATTCATGCCTTGGGGAGCCACCTTGATGCAGAGCTGGGCTTGCTTCTCATCTCCTGCCACCAAGGGGATGCAACTGAATCCTTGAAACTATGACCTTGTTGATCTGGTGGGACYAGACCTAGCTGGAAACTTCCCTATTTCCCAATATCGGGCTTGCTGGGTGTGCACTCCCCGTGGTGCTGAGGTGCTCCACACTCACCGAGCTGCAATGCTCACTGGAGACACCTGGGCGTACTTCAGCGTCGCTGATTTGTTTGGAGAGGTTGTTGTTTTATCTTGGCAGTGRACAAAAAATGCCTCTAAATCAACCCATCGATCAAAATATTGCAGCCCTGCATTATCTTTATGTAGGGTCTCACCAAGTCCCTCCATGTGAACATGCCTGCATGGAGGGGAAGTTCAGCTCAAGAGCCAGAATGTTTGGCTTGGGGCCACCTGGACTTTATGGGAGAGAATTTTTTGACTATGTCTGATAGATCTGATTTGTGCAGTGCTCTTAAAAAAACACACATGTGCCTAGAGACCTCCAAACTGGACATGTCCAGGCAGTAGATAGTTGGAGAGAGGCACTGGGATGCTCCTTGCGCTTCCCAACCAGGGGATGCAGTGTCCTCTGAGGATGCTCCAGGGGTGCACAATCAGTGCAAGGGCTAACTCGTCATATTCACAATCTACCACATTCCTGCATCACACGGTGATGAACGTGATCATCTTCCTTTGTCCAGCACTGCAATGCATTGCAATGCATCACCCGCATTGCCTAGCAGCAATGGCCCTGCATTATATCCCATGAATCCCCAAAAATCATGCCTAAAAAGGCAAGAAAAGTAACATGAATTCCGGCCACTTGGAGCTGAGGAGCAGGGAACTATCTGATGCCAAGGAAATCGTCCCTGGCTCCCGGTCCCCTTCTCCTCCGGAGTTGAGGAGCTGGGAACTATCTGACCRSCAAGGAAAGTGTCCCCAGCTCTCRGTCMCCTTCTCCTCYGGAGTTGAGGAGTTGGGAACTATTTGACATCAAGGAGAGTKTCCCCAGCTCTCGGTCCCCTTCTCCTCCGGAGTTGAGGAGCTGGGAACTATCTGACCCCCAAGGAGAGTGTCCCCGGCTCCCGGTCACCTTCTCCTCCGGAGTTGAGTTGGGAATTATTTGACCACCAAGGAGAGTGTCCCCGGCTCCCGGTCACCTTCTCCTCCGGAGTTGAGGAGCTGGGAATTATTTGACCACCAAGGAGAGTGTCCCTGGCTCCTGGTCACCTTCTCCTCCTCCCCGCAGGCGCCTGGGCAGCCGGAGGACGCGCTGGCCGCCGCCGGGGACTTCAAGTTCGAGGCGGAGGATTACGGCTTCGCGGCGGGCAGCGCGGCGCAGCCCGCGGGGCTCAGCGTCCCGCTCCGGCAGGACTCCTGGTGCGCGCTGGCCCTCGCCTAGGAGCCCGGGACGCGCCGCCGCCCACGGACAGATTCCCACGGGACGCGGGGGAAAAGCGCCGGTCGGGAACACCGAGCTCAGCTTTCCCAATGGGAAGTTTGCYGTATCCAGCGGGACTCAGAGTGGCCTCCCTGGAGCGGGAGAGCTGGGGACACTTCTGCTTTCGCCAGGAAAGCCTCCRTCATCCGGAGATGAAACCAAGAAATAAATGCATCCCCGAATCTTATGTTTATTTTCGCGGTGATTTCTCCCTCCTATGACTCCTCTGTGTGCAATTTATTCCACTTTCCAATAAAGACTGTAATAACGCGGCGTCAAATAACTTAATTTTATTAAAATGTAAACTGTGTGGCCTCCTTTATGTTGTATTGGCCACAGCAGGAAAAAAAAAAAAGAGGAACAAAAGATGTTGTTTTTAAACATTTACTGTTTTATATTAAAAAGATCATCTCGATAGAGTGCTCGCTTCCGAAGTGCTCAGCACTTGGCTGCTGGGCTGGAGAGCCACACGCAAAATAAACACACCGCTCTTCCCATTCCAGCTCTAAACAAAGATTTTTATTATTATTATTATTATTATTATTTTAGCCTAACTAAAGGAMAAAAAAAAAAAAAAAAAAGGTGAAAATCTCCCAGTAATAAAAGAATACAGTTTTCTTTGCTGTTTCCTGATTGCTATCAATATTGACAGCCCCAAGTACTAGATAATTCTAAGTCACTCAGAGAGTTAAGGGACTGATTGAGAGACCTGAGAGGCTGGAGGAAAAAAAGGGATTTTGAGGTTGGATTTTCACCTGTTTGGGGGATGTTTGAAGTGGAGGGTGCCCAGCTTTTCAGCTCTGCAGCTCCTTTGTATTTTCCAAAGGCTGCTCAGGAGAAGAGGTTTCCTTGGAAAAGTGACCATGACGGCCCTTGCAAAAGCCACCGTGCTGGGTTCCTCCTGCAATATGGGACACGTTGAAGGTCGTCCTGCCTTTCCTCGGGCTCCTGCACCGGCGCAGGTTTGTGTGGGGCTGAGGAAGGCTGTGCATGGAGCCGGGACAAGGAGAGGAGCACACGGACCAGGGTGGGAAATGCAGCGGGAGCGAGGTCAGGGAGTTACTTCGGGGCCCCGCTCGATTTGCTATTTCTAAATAAAACCCCAGCCAAGCTCCGCGGCTATTTACAGCCAGGAAGCTGTCAAGTAATAGCTCCTTAATATAGACGTCGACCTGTCCAGGGCTTCCTGGAGTGACTCTTCCTCTTGTCAGGAGAGATGGATCGCTTGATTTTTATTATAAACAACAGCCTGGGGATGATCGGGGAGAGTGAGGTCCGGCCTCGTGTCATGACTCGTCCAAGGCAGAGGCCGGTGTGTTCCCACTCAGGCTCCTTGGAGGATGGAAAAGGGATGCTCGGAGCGCAGGGACACACAGATGTCCTCCCAGAGCGGCACCATGATGACGGTCACACTGGTCCCCATCACTTGTGTGTGTCCAAGCCCTCCTTTTGCAAAGCCCAAGGGTGACACCTTTGGAGGGACCTTGTTGCCACCCCTGGGCTCGTGGGTGCCCAAAGAGCCGGTGCCGCCACCCCCGCGCTGCTCCGGGCGGCAGCGCCTGTTTGCGCCGGGATCGCGGCAGGACTTGGCGCCGCTGCCGTTTGTTTTTCCACGCTCTCCGACGCGGGGCAGATAACGGAGCGGTGCCGGCCCATGAGCTTTGACGGCTCCGAGCTCTCCCGTGGCCTGACCCCAGCAGGGGCAGCTGGCAAGGAGACCCAAACAGCACCGAGACGTCGACGCCAGCGGCTCCAGCCGCTTTATTTATGGCCTGTTGGTAAGTGCCGAACACGCACCGAGCACATCGGGACGGGGGCAGAGCGACAAGGAGCGAGGGGGTAATTTCTCCTCCACGACAGGGGTAATTTCTCCTCCTTGCATTCTCCACAGAYGCATTTCAGGGGCAGATTTCATTTCTTCTCCCCCTTGCCCTGTCGCTGCTCTTACTGCTTCACCCCAGCCCGGGTCTATTTGCTCTCCTGTGGCTCGGGTGGCCTGTGGACAACTATTATCTTTACTGTTGTTGCACAGCTGCTTCAGAGCTATCAATTGCCTTTGATCAAAGGTCACCTGCCCAGATGATTTTACAACAGGACTGCAATGATCTCTTCCACGCTGCACTTTATACTGATGCCACGGCGATTTTTACCAAGTCAGCAACTGAGTAATGAAGCACTTGAGCCTATAAACTCATGTTGTCCTTGTTTATGGGCATATTAATAGCACAATAAAATCTTTGCTAACACGAGTTGTTGTTTTCCAAGAATAATAAAAAAAAGTTTATTTAATTTTTATTTCTCTATGGAAGGAAAAAGGAAACTTGTGGTTTGACTTCTGCCAGGAGCCCCAGACTCCCTAACGGGGTGTCACTTTTGCAGCAGATCACAGAGATATTTGGTTTTTCTCCGTGCACAGAAGCCACCAGCACAACTTGTGTGGCAATGGGGCTTCAAGCCAGGCTGTCCCTGTACTGCTCAGCCAGTCAATATATTTAACTCTGCTTGCTCTTCCCCTGCTCAGGCTGTAGGGACAAGGACAAACTCGTCCTCCCCAGGTGCAGGTGTGCACAGCTGGCCACGATCAGGGTGATTTTCACTGGCTAAGGTCTTGCCCAKGACACTATAAGAAGATGGGTGCTCCCCAGCTTCCCTTTTTGCTCCTGGGGTTTGGCAAGTTTATGCATTTGTCATTGTAGGGTGATGCCTAGTTCCAAAATGCCTTTCCTGGGACCTGCTGGATGTGTGATAATGAGCCAGGTACGTGACCTGAAGTGGGTTTTGGTTCCTCGARCTGGTTTTGGGTAGCTTTGGGGGTGGTTTGTTGTTTATATTCTTATACCATTTGTATATTATTAATGGTACAGAAGCACATCTAGTGCCACTTCTTGTTTTCTCCTTCCTGTTGGCAGCCAGTCTGAGGTCTCAGTGAGCCTCAGCGTTCTCTGTACCCTCCCCGTTTCAGGTTAATATCAGCTCCTCACTTCCAACAAGAGCTCCCTTGTGCTCCCTAGGACCTGCTCCCCTGGCTCTCTGCTCCTTTTTGATACTTTTATTAATGTTTTAGCTACTTGCTAGTAGGGAAAATGGCATGTGTTGTTTTCTAAGTCATTGGGGTGCTGCAGTGGCCAAGCTATTTACTTCAACAGCAGCTAAATCCAAGCTGAATATTCAATCTTAGCATTGTATGCACAGGAGAAGACAGCAAACARCATTATTCCTTTCATCCCATCAGAGGGGCTTTCTTGGAGGAGCCTTTGTGGCAGCTCCTTGGAAGGAAGTGGTGCCTCCAGGATCCTCTCYTGTTCGGCACAAATTTACATTGAATTGTCCCAAAGCTAACGAGGGTTAAYACCTTCTGCAAAGGGCTTTTATTTCAAGGAAGCTCCTCCTCAAGCAGAAGGTGTGCTAGAAATAGTACCTATAAAATGTCTYTTGCTAAAGATCTTGTGTCCTACAAGATCTCTTTGTCTTTGAAAACCCAGGAAATCAGGTTTTAATGTGATTTCTGCCCAGGAGTTACCCCGCCGAAGTTAACATGCCCTAATACTGTGTGTGTTGAAAGTGGCAGCCTCGTTGCATGCTCAAACTTGGCCAAAATCTGCTTTATTCACAGTGCTCTAATATCACTGGGACTGCTGGCATTTAAGTCACCTGTGTGTTTGTGCAAACCTTTTGTAATGTCACTAGGAAATGCATTAGTATTGGAATTTAGGAAAGGTGTTATAACCTGCATTTCCATAACACCATTAAATGAGGCCAGGAGCAAATCTAGACTATTGAGGGGTTTAAAAAATGCTCTGAGGTGCCTAAAGGGCCAATTTCTCAGCTGTTGCAAGGTATCAGTGCTGAATCTTTCTCCCAAATAAATCTCTAACCATGTTACCAGGATGCTCTTTATGGTTCCTGATGATCCAGAAGAAAGAATAGGAGAAAGTAGCAAATTTCTAATTCAAGTAGTAGAGCCTGCCTTGATTAGGGTGAAAAGACTGGTTGCCTTGTGTCTACAAAAGCATCTCAGTAATGGGTAAAATGGGGAATGGGTAAAATTTGGGGAAAGGATGAATAGAAATAAAAAGGACACTTTTTTTTTCTTCTAAATCAAGCAAAGGGGCTTAAAAACAGGTGGGAACTTCTGTCCCATCTCATCTGAACTTGTATTAGACCCTGCTATGGGGTGAGGGCTCTCCTCTGCGGGACAGCYGGAGTTACGGAGCGGGAGCTGGGAGACCTGGGCGGGAAGCAGAGCGGGACCCCAAGGTTACTGTTATTTCAGGTGTTGGTATCATCCTTTCCCATCTGCTCGCAATAAAGACGAACGGCTCTGGCTCATGAAATGAATGGAAACGGCAGGTATTTAGCCACGGGAGCCTGCTGTAACATCCTGCTGCAGAGCTGTGCTTAAGYGCCTGGGAGGGATATGCCCTTATGGAGCAGGGAAGTGATGATGACGAAGGAACCTTCTCCCCGGGCACGAGAGCAGAAGGGCTAAGGTGAGTGGCAAGGTGGAACCCAGGGTGTTAATGATTTACCCCGAGTGCCATGGGGGCTATAATAGACACCGCGTGCGTATGGAGCGACCTGCGAGCGCAAACATGAAATAGGGAAACCRGCGCTCAAAGGGCACCATAAAGTGGCCTTTGGGGGAGGCAGTTTATTCAGATCCACCTTTGTTTGCTTTGGGGGAGCGCTGCGCCGTCGGGCTGGCCCTGCAGTGCAGGTGYTGGGTTGTCCCAGCCGCATCATGGGGTCAATGCCACCCTCGAACCCGGCTTGCCCATCTTTCCTCCCCAGGGAATAACTCCACACCGAGCAGGGTGGAGGGTTTCCATGCTGGGCTGCTGGTTATCATGAGCATTCAGGAAATACAACAGTATTTCTTAGCCTTACCGCATGAATGGGGTAATCCTGTTTTTTCTGCTCTCCTACAGCATTTAAAACCATTATATCACCACTGCTATGCT